GGTTGCAATTAGATCAGGCTTTTGTTTAGTAGTAGCAACTCATAAATCTCAACGGGATGGTAGAATGGATCGCATTTTGAGATGCGACCGTTATCGCAAAAGAGAAGAACGAGATTTCAGTAAAGCGATTCGGTTTGACTCAAAGCGGAAAGGTTGTGGGTGTCAGTTCCGAGTTAAGGTTCGACAACATCAAAGGCGTGACGGTTGGGAAGTGAAGGGTTACGACAAATGGGGATATCACAACCATGAGCTGATAGCATACAAAGTGGGGCATCGGCAGTTAAGCGGCCTAAGTCCAGCTGCGAAACTAGTTGTAAAAGAAATGAGTGATGCTCAAGTGAAGCCCGCTAAAATATTAGCGTCTGTGTTAGAGAAATTCCCCGAAGACCAGCCAAACCGAAGACACATCTACAACGTCAGACAGAAATTGAGGTTTGAACGGTCAGAGGGAAGGAACCCTATACAACAGCTTCTGCACCAGGCACAAGCACGTGGTTACCTTTACTGGTTTGAATCTGACGAAGACACATCGGAGGTAACTCATTTGTTCCTTGTCCATCCTGATTGTGCTGATATGATTTCGTCTTGGCCATCTGTGATTTTGATCGATTCAACGTACAAGACAAACAAGTACAAGTTCCCACTGGTTGAGATGGTTGGGATGGCTCCAACGAACCAGAACTTTCTGATTGGTTATGCAGTCATGAAGGATGAGACGGCTGCGAGTTACCGTTGGGTGTTGGAAAAGTTGAGAAATTACATCGGCCCAAATGTACAGCCATCGGCCATCGTAAGTGATTGTGAGGGAGGTCTTTTTGCCCCTATAGCGGAGCTGTTTCCGGAGTCGAGCCATTTACTGTGCACATGGCACATCAACAACTGCGTGAAAGTCAAAGCCTACAACCTTTTCAACAAGAACTTAGATTCAGCAGAGAGATTGGTAAATGGTAAGTGGCGGAAGATCCTGCAAGCTACCACGGAGGCAGAGTACGATCGAGCCTTGGAAAACTTAAAGGATGCGTACAAGTGGTGCCCGCCAATCGTAGACTATGTGATGCATCAGTGGGTACCTCAGAGGGAAAAGTTTGTCAAATATTGGACGAACCAAGTTCTTCATTTTGGGAACACTACGACATGCAGAGTCGAGAGCGCTCATAGAGCTTTGAAGGACTGGATTGATTCTTCCACGGCTGCTCTGGATACACTGTTCGAGAGAATAAACAAGGCTATTGATACTCAGAGGAACGGCATCAAGAACTATCTCGAGGACTCCAGACGACGACATGGCATGTTGTATGGCCATTTCATATTTAAGATTCTCAACGGTCGTGTGTCACACCACTGTTTGGGGTTGATTCTGAGCGAGTATACCAGGATGAGGGAGTTGGGCGATGAAGTGGCTATTCGGTGCGGATGTGCTATATCAATGACTCATGGATTACCTTGTGCATGCACCATTCACCGCGTAATTACGCAAGACAGGGCGTCGTTACATGTCGATCAGGTTCATCCATTCTGGCGGACGCTCGTTATCGGAGAGCATGCTGTTCCGCATACGGTTCACCGTGAACAGGAGGAGTTGGAGCAGTTTCAGATGATGTTTGACCAAGTGTCCTCCAGTCACCCTTCGATCATTCGTAGTGCTACACACATACTTCATGACATGTTCAATACATCGTGTTTGGATACCGAGGAACCGGAAGGGGTCGAGCGACCTAGGGGTCGACAACCACGGCGGAACAAGAGTGCGTTTGAGTACATTCGCGGTCGTGGCCGTGGCCGTGGCCGTGGTCGTACATCCTCATCAAGTGGCAGCCAATCATCGTCGTCGGTGAATATGCCCGGCACCGGTAAGACATTCGACTTCAATTTCTTTTGTTGACTGTTTGATTAGTTTACTGTTGACTTGTTTATTGTGTTTATTGATGTGTGTAACAGGGAGAATGGACATTGAACATTTTCCATATAAGGACAGGATCCCTAATATCATGATGCCATTCTTGGACGGGTGGAATGATGTCATTGCAGATGGTAACTGCGGATTTCGGGTTGTGGCGGATGTGTTTCAAATGGGTGAAGACAACTACGGTTTAGTGCGGCAGTTGATGTACAGTGAAATCGCATCAAACCGAGATGTGTATGGCCATGTGTACGGCGAGGACTTGGATAGGTCTCTGCAGCGTATCCGGTGGGGAGGGGGACCTTGCGGTCAAAATCATTGGTTCGATGCGCCACTTGATCTCTTTGCCGTTGCAAACATCTACAAGTGTGCAGTCATGCATTTCGGCCTTGGTTTACATAGTCGAGCCTATTATCCATGTACAACGGTTCTGCCCTGGTGTTCGCGCGAGACCGTCACCAGACCGGTAAGGGACGTTGTTATTGGATTTCTTGGGCCGTCATACAGACATTTTATCCGATTAGACATGTCACCCGATTTTCCGGTCCCAAATATCATACCGAAGTGGTATGAAATTCGTAGAGCAAGCGTGGAGGGTTGGGATGCTTTGTACCATGCTCGCGTGCAACAGTGGAACAATTTAATTGCCATGTAGTTTTTGTTGATGTACACCTACCTTTTACTATGAGGCCTTGTATTGTCAATACTATGTCATTTCTATGTGTTCATTTTTAAAAGATAATGTTTCATTATAAAAACTAACAACAATAATTTCAAATATTACAAAATAAAATGATAATATTGAATTTTAAAAACTAAGAACAATAATGTCAAATATTACAAACTAAAATGATAATGTCTAATTTCAAATATCAGTAATCCCTCTGTGACGCCCACTGCCACTGCTCAAGGGTCCGTTCCAGATCGTCAATAACAGCTCTGCCTGATGCACTCGTCATGCAGTCCCTTTCCTCAAAAAGTCGGTGTCCCAACTGCATAATCTTGCCCATCCACTACACAAAACAAAAAACATGAAACGACGTATTATACATATATATATTAAAATAAGAGAACAACAAATAAAAGATGAGACGTACCGCATAAGAGGCAGTGGCAGGTGGCACATCGTCATCATCTGCGTCGTCGATGTCTTTGATCAACCTCGGGTGCGAGTGCCGGATGTACCATTCCATGTAGTGCTGGTCACACATGGCAGTCACCCCACTTGGCGGCCGCTGCAGCTCCGCCGTCCATAGGCGGGCAACCATCGGAAACTGCTCCCACATGGATATCATGTTTGACGGCCATTGGACGACGTACTCCTTCGACGACGCAGATCGTACCGCCTTACTGGGCCATGCCGGTGGAGGTGGGACAACTTGGACAAATCCAAGCTGGCGAAGACAGCGCTGCGGCATGTACGCCTCTACGATCTCGCGATACTGAATCAGTCCAGTGTAGAGGGTCCTGGGTACCCTATTACTAGGGTTCTGGCCAAAAGGCATCCAGTTCACCTGCACATTATTTAAAATCAGTAACAGTCATAAAATAAAGCATCAGATTGTAAAAGTAGAAATAATTTAATCACTGTACCTCTAAGGGGGACATCCTGTCAAGCGATAACCGTATGGAGCGCAGGCGGTCAACGGACTTCTTCTCGACACGCGGACTCCACGCACAGGCACGTGGCTGGCCATCACCAATGGGAACCGGGTCGCGGTGTGGTCGAAACGCAGGAAAATACTCGTATATCCAGGTCTGTAACAACGTCAGACATCCAGTGATACCTGCTGCATCAGCCCGGCTCGAGAATCCTAACTGGCGATACAGATACGCCAGCGTAGCCGACCCCCAAGAAAACTGGCCTACTCTGTCTATAGGTCCCCCGGCCACCTCACCCCTCACCATCCAAGAATCATTAACGGCCCTCGACCGTTTTCTGCTACCCGCAGACACAGTGGACGCAGATGATGTGCCAGATCTACTAACAAACCTACCATCTCGACCCTTACGCACATCTACCCTATGCGTCTCATACGTATCATCAAGTCTCTGACTGAATGGACCGTAATCATCATATGGTCCACTCTGATCGTCGACATCCTCATCTGCATCATCCTCGTCCTCGTCCTCCTCCTCCTCGACCTCCTCCTCCTCGACCTCCTCCTCCTCCTCCTCATCATCATCATCATCATCTTCATCGTCCGCAGAACAGTGCACCCGTTCTCTGCGGGCCGAGGCCGAAATACCACGGGATCTAACGTGTCTGGGCCCCGAGCTCTCCATTGAGTAGATCGTACTCCTCACGACGTCAATACTCTTCCCCGCACCAGGTCTAAATTGCGATGCCTAACTCCAAGTAAATAACGAAACATAATAACGAAAACAAATTAAAAAAAAGTCGAAAATAAACACAAAAGCAAATAAACAAGTCACGGAAATAAAATTATAAACATAAAAAATATAAAATTAAAACAAATAAAAAAACAAAATTTAAAAAAAAAAAGATAAAAAAAAAAAGGGAACATACAATTTAAAAAAAAGAAAAACAAATTTTTTAAAAAAAAAAAAAAAAATCGAAAATAAAATTTAAAATTAAAAAAAAAAAAAAAAAATTTAAAAAAAAAAAAAGAACGAGGCGCCTAGGCAAGGCGCCCATACGGTGGTGGCGGCGCCAAGCCCAGACGCCACTACCACGGCGGCGGCGCAGAGGCTCGGCGCCATAGCCGTGGTAGTGGCGTCTGGGCTTGGCGCCGCCACCACCGTATGGGCGCCTTGCCTAGGCGCCTCCGCCGTGGTGGTGGCGTCTCGCCTTGGCGCCCCACCGTCGCCGGAGGTTTTTTTTTTTAAAAAAAATTACAAAAATTAAAAAATTTACCTTCTGGCCGGCAAACCGCCTTCCGCCCACCGCCGGTGCCGCCACTTCCTTGCCGGGCCGCCTCGACATAGCTCTGGAAATAATTTAGAGAGAGAAAGTGGAAGTAGAGAGTAGAGAGAGAAATTGTGTGTTTTTTAGTATGAGGGCAAAAGTGTCATTTCACTCTTATTTTGTGGGCTTTATGTAGGAATTTGCGGGCGATGTTTAACAGTTCACTTCATCTTCCCCCATATTTTCTCTCTCCTCTTCAAAACCATCTTCATCTTCATCTTCCCCCGTATTTTCTCTCTCCTCTGTCAGGGTTGGTAGTCATGGTCATGGGTTTTCATGAGGGTGGTGGTCGTGTGGTTGGTAGTCATGGTCGTGGGTTTTCATGAGGGTGGTGGTCGTGGGGTTGGTAGTGGTGGTACTGGTAGTGGTGAAGGGCCCGCGTTAAAGGCGGCAATGGTGTTGGTTCGGTGAAGGGGGGGTCGTGGTTTTCGGTTCGAGTTGGGGGTTTTGTTTCGTGGTTCCGTTGAATTGGGTTCTGGTGTTGGTACGGTGGTGTTAGTACGGTGAAGGCGGTGGGTGGCCGCGGATCTGGGTTCTGGTGGGTGGGTTTTGGTGGTTCCATCGGTGGGTTTTGGTGGGTGGTCGTTGTTCTGGGTTTTGGTGTGTTCGTGGAGGTGGTGGTTCCGTCGGTGGGTTTTCGTGAGGTAGGGTTGGTTACGTGGGGTTGGTTGTGGTGGTGGTTTCGTGGGGGTGGTAGTGGTGGTGTTGGTGAAGCAGACGGTGGTGTTGGTGAAGGCGACGGTGGTGTTGGCTGGTTTTGGTGGTGGTAGTGGGTGGTTGATTAATTTTCATAACATTCTCTCTCCACCTTAATTACATACCCCTATAATACATTAATCACCATTATCATTTTTTGCTTCGTGAACCGCAAAAAGCCTCAAAGTTGCACATAAAAAAAAACCGGAGGTAGTATACGAAGTTGAATGTTGCCTGTTGAGCTCTTGGGAGCACTAATTGTCTAGGAGTGTTTATTTGTGTGCATTTACATCTTGACGAGGATATATTAATGATTGTTAAGATTTTGAAACTGATTTACCTTTCATTCACTTCAAAATCTTCTAGGTTAAGATATGGGATCCAAGTCTTCGTGGTTCTAAGCTTCGGGCCACTTTGCAAGGCCATACCGGGTAACTTCTACATCTTATATTTATTTCTTGTTTTCTTTTGGGACAAATAATGAAGGATTATAGTGTTAAAAGGAGTACTAGTTGGTGACTGACACTCATTTAAAAGGAAGTGTAGAGATATATTTGTCATGCCTTATAGTGCTAAATGTTACATTGTCTGAAAATCAGTTGTTTGTGTCAGGTCAAATCAGGTATGCTCAGTAGTCAGTTTCAATTTGTTTTGGATAGGGAATTTTGTTGCATATGTTGAAAATCAGTTTCACACTTCTGTTAAGGTCTTCAGAAGTGACAATGGAACTGAATTTTTTCAAGATGTTTGTTCTGCTTTCTTTTCTTAGAAAGGTATTTTGCATCAGAGAAGTATTCCTCGTTGTCCCCAGCAGAATGGGAGAGTTGAAAGGAAACATAAGCATCTCCTTGAGACTGCTTGAGCTATTAGATTTCATGCTGGTTTACCAATTAGATTTTGGGGTGATTGTCTATTGGTTGATACTTATTTGATTAACCTCATGCCTAGTTCTGTCTTGTATTGGATCTGTTGTATCTGTTGTTTTAATTATGTGCAGGTTTTAGCTATTGTTACTGTAGTTTTGTTAGAAAGGATGACTGATGAAGATGATGATGACAGGTTATATTATTAAGGACATGGAACGTAACAACTTATAATTTTTTTTTTACAATTTCGTTTCTATAACTCACTTTGACAGGTTAAACAGCAGCAACAGCCAGCACCAGGCAGGCACAGCACCAGACAACAGCTAACAGCCAGCAGATAGCCAACAAGCTTTGCAAAACCAGGTGTGATTTTGTTATGGGGTTGTGATTTTGTTGAATGATGCTGAAATCCCATGTTTTATTTTTGTAAGTAATTTTAAATGGGGTTGTGTTTCTGTTGTGGAAATCTGAAAAAAAAAAAAAAAAATAAATTTACTTTATTATGGGGTTGTAATTTTGTTGAATGATGCTGAAATCCCATGTTTTATTTTTGTAAGTAATTTTAAATGGGGTTGTGTTTCTGTTGTGATTCATGTGGAAATCTGAAAAAAAAAATAGTTTTTGTGGGTTTTTGTTAAGTGTAACATAGAAAAAAATTTAAGTCCTTTTTTTTTTAAATCTATGACTTATGGTGTGGATTTTGTCTATATGTGTATGATTTATGCTTAATAATATTAGTGTGGGTATAATTTATTAGGGAAAATGTTCGCTTTTGATTGATGTTGATAATAATATTTTAGTAGGGTGTGGAGGAATGTCTACTGTTTGGACAAAACCTTAATTACTCAAATGCACCAAGTGATACTATTTTCACCCTAAAAGGCGGCTCATCTCTTGTCCCTCTTGGTCCTTAGCCTTCATATCCCTTGGTCAGTTGGTTGATGCTTAGATTAGTTACTGTCTCTGTTCAGTGATTATCTGTATTTATAGCTTATCTTATTTCAAGAGATATCAGTATCATTCTAAGGAATGAAAATGTTCAGGCCACTCTTTTGTGTTTCACCTCCTGGGGATGTTATTCTTCTGGTTCTAACTAGCACATTTTGGATGTACATACGTAGCTTACATGCATTAAAATAGAACTCACCTAATTAAGGCTCTAGTGGTATTAAATTGGTGAAGTAGACTGATCATACATGTATGAATCTTATAATATATAATAGAGCAGTAACACCAAGTTGATGAATAAGCTTGTTCACACTTATAAAGATGTATCAGCTTGTTCTGTTGGCTCTATGATCCAAGAATTTGAATTGCAGCAAATGTTTAGTACGTGTGCCCGAATCCAACCCGTGAGGTCTATAGCTATCTTCACTCATATATAACACCACACATCACAAAGTACATGTAAACACATTCTTTACTTGAACTAACAAGGCAGACAGTGACTGTAAAAGCTGAGGTGATTACTTTTGTCAACTTAAGGGATTGCTTCTTGACACTAGTGTGCTTTATTTCTCTTTTCTATTTCTAGGATGCACCGCAAGAATGGCCAATTTGCATCTTTGAGAGAAGGTTCGACATCTTTCAATTTGGAAGCTAAAAAGAACTTAGTGGTTGGTAGAAGCCTGGGACCAGAAACTGTGTGAATCCTTGTTAATTTAATCCTTGCTCCTCCCATATGCACAATGTGCTGAAGGATAGTAATTAATTTATATCCGAATTTCTGCTTATTCCCTTTCTAATTTTCTCTATAATTTCCAGTTCAAACAAGTGTCAGCATTGTGGTATTAGTGAAAATGATACACCAGTTATGCGACGCGGACCAGCTGGTCCAAGAACCTTGTGCAATGCTTGCGGACTGATGTGGGCCAACAAGGTGTGAATTCATAATATTGTATTCAAAATGTTTTAGAGTTGAGATTCTTGAGAGAGATAAAATGTTATAATATCAACATATATGCATTGAGCTTTGCGTAATTAAAATAATGTGTTGTAGGATAGAGGAAACCATTTGTGTAGGATTGTGTCTATGTAAAATGGTCTATGTAGTCTAAGTTTCTGATACTAAGGAGCGATTATGTTGCTAGAGAAGAAATTATGAGCCTGATTTGATAATTGAAACAAATTTGGTTGATAATTGAACTATGAAATTGGACCTATTCTCCCATTACTACTACTGTTTAATTGGAAATATGAATTTGGACCTCTTCTCTCAACAATGAACAATGATACAGTTAGAATTAGATTCATCTCAATAAATTAATCCAAAAGAAAATCATTTTATGGTTTATATGCTGTATTTATAGGTAGTGTGATAAATAATAATGATCAAAGTTAGCAAGGTTTGATCTTTGATGACTGAATATTATTTTGAGATGGGATGAGTGATACTTGAAAACAATCATCAGTTTGGTAAGAGGCGATTTGCAATATAATTCATGGTTGTTTGCATATATCTATCTTTTCTGATGTATGCTTGACAAACAGACATTGGATTTTATCAAAGTCTTTATTTTTATCAATTAAGAAATGTCTTCAGGATTCAGGACAGGGTAATCAAAATTTTATGATCTATTCTTGACTTGTGCTGACCATATATGTCAACTTCGGCCATTCGAAAAAGATAGGAGGAAGTACTTCGCCTTACGTATCCTGTTATAAGGTAATCAACTTCGTAATGCACATAATGGCCAGAGTCTGAGAAGTGAGAACCACTAATGTTACAAATGCTCTTGAGTGATCTTTGCTAACTACGTAGTAAATTGTTATTCTAGTCTGTTGGTGCCTTGCATTTGATGGATTATTCTTTCTGGCATTGAGTTTTTTCCCATAAGTGATCTCTAGAAATAATAGAGCGTCACCAGCACAACACCACAGCAGCTGCAGCAGAACCCAGCAAAAACAGCAGCCTGACCCAGAGCAGCCAAACCAGCAAGCAACACAGCACTACAGCAGAGCAGCAAACACCCAGCACAGCTTGACCAGAGCAGAACAGAAACACAGCAACTCAAGAACTCAAACCAGTCACCCAGCCAGCCTAAACATAACAGAGACACAGCCACAGAAGCAAACAGATGCCCAGCCAGCCTGAACAGAACAGAGGCACAGCAGCGCAGCAGAACAGAAACAGCCGCACAGCAAACAGCAGAGCAGCCTGTTAGCCTGAACACACAACAACACAACATCCAGCAGAGCAGCCACCAGCACAAGACCAGGACAGCCCCTGCTAAAACTCAGACAGTATGCTGTTTTTGAAGAAAATATATATGTTAGTGTTTATATGTCCATTTTTTTTTTAGTTTTTTAAAGTGTAATATTACAAGTTATTGAAGAAAATATATGTGTTTAATGTATATTATGATTATATACAAGTATTTGGTACAATTTAAGTGAAAAAAAATGCAAAAAAAAAAAAATTATTTTTTTGGGGCACTTTTGGCACCGATTTTGGAAAAGAACCGGTGCTAAAAGTTTTTTAAAAATAATTTTGGAGACTTTTGGCACCGGTTCTAAGTAAACACCGGTGCGAAAAGTTTGGTTTTTGGCACCGGTTTTCCACAAGAACCGGTGCGAAAAGTCATTTTTCCCATCGGTTTTAAACCGGTGGGAAATCTATGGGGTTTTAGCACCCCCCAAATCCAGCCCGGTTCAAAACTGGTGCGAAATGGGGGCTTTGAACCAATGGGGAATTCGTATTTTCGCCTAGTGACTTAATCGTTATAAAAGTTTGTTATATGCATTTAAAATATAATTATTAATCACTATAAGGAAACAATATGCGAATTTGATCAAAAAATTTAATTTACATTAACTTATTTAGGCTAATAGATGCAAACAACATATTACGAAACATGTGCAATATATGTACAATATATGTACAAAAATAATTTAATTTAAAAGTACCTACTATTCCGATAGAGGGTTCGGAATTAATTAGAAAGCTAAATATTCAGTGAGGTCAAGTGATCGGAATGCCTAGCTGGAGGTCGCTTCCGATCAATAATATTAATGCATAATTAATATTACAGCTTAATCTTGACTGAACCCTTCGGGTCACACCCAATCATAGAACTGAACCGAAACGACGAATTAATCCGAAAGATTATATGAGTCAATAGAATATTTACGAAAAAAGACGTCGGATTCCGAGCGAACCGAGCGTTGTAAGTCGAGTCGAATTTAGGAATTGACGAGACGGAAAAATCGACCAAACGACAAATCGTTGCTAGGGCAAGATGGCTAGCATGGCTAGCCAAGGGCCACTGCCGCAAGGCAATGCTTAGCCGCAAGCTCAGCATGCCTAGCATGGCTGAGCATGCTGGCCAACCATGCCTTGCGCTCATCGCAAGGCCAGCATGGTTGATCGCGCTTGCTAGGCAAGCCAACAGCTAGCCCCGCACCATCGCAAGGCCAGTAGCAAGCATATGCTCACTGAGCCTCACGCATGGTCGCAGCAGCTAGCTGGGCGCAGCCTAGCACAAGCATTGCAACAGCCAGCTAGGCGCTGCCTAGCACAAGCAACGTAGCTGCAACAGCAACTCGCATTGCGTGCGTGGCCTACTGGTTGTGCGTGCATATATGCGGGCTGGCTGGGAGGCCCAGCCATGGCGCTAGGCGCCAGTGAGGCTGCCTTGGCTGCCAAGGCAGGCCACCAGCACATGCTTGATGGGAGATGAGATTTCAAGGGCTCCTTTCCCTATAAATACCAATCATTTGGCATTAGGAAGGAGCACTTGAGTTGTAAACTTAAAGGGATCTCTAAGAAGACAAAACCTTCGTTCTAATAATCTAATTTATTTTTTGCCTAGCCCCGACTAAGCTTCGGGGTAAGGGTCGGGTCGGTTCGGGGAGCGAGGGTGTAAGCCGTCGGAGGTTCGCGCATTTGCAGGATTCTACGCTTTCAAGTCCGAGCTCTAGTGAGAACGAAGCACGCGACAAAGGTAATGATTCTTTCTCTCTCCTCTTGTTAATTATGTGATTATGGTTTTAATACATGCGTAATTACTTTAATTTGTGTGCGGATTTTGGGCGGGTTTCCTTCTGTGTGATGTTGGACATCACAAAACCCAACAGATATAATATTTTTATCACACACATCTCGTAACTTTTACAAAAATTATAGGGTTCAGACCCCTATGAGCCCCAATGAAGATTCTCTCCTGATTACTTGTGCTATTTTGTAATTATAGTGCTAGTCACATGGTTTAGACTGAAATTCCCCACCTTGCTATTGGTGCACTAGCCTCCTTGGCCTGGTTTTTGACAATGACATGGACCAAAGATTGGAGAATGTTTATCGTGAGGTGGTTAGCAACGATTTCAAGGTATATAGTTTGAAACTTATCATTATTAAAACAATGATCAATATGTATACTAATATTTGACTAATTTAATAACTTCCTTCTTACTTTATATCATTATATTCAGGTTGTGAATAAAAAAAAATGTAATGATAGAATACGTCAATCTTGCGATCTAATCAAGAAAATTGCTGCACAATCTTATGTTCTTATGAAACTTGGAATCGAACGATTTTTAACACTATAAGGTAAGTGATTATTTTATTTAAATTTTATAATGTTTTTTCCTTCTTATAATATTCTTTGATAATTATATCTTATTTTTGTTTAGTCCTTTGTTGACCATCAACGAACTAACATCGAGTCTAGCAGATATGTACAAGTTTGCAGTACAATATAACTGGCAGTTCAACACACTTATAAATGAAAATTGTACGGAGATAGTTCAACCTCCAGACACAAACTTAGTAGGAGGTATTGCTCGTACAATTTTTGTATCTCGAAGTGATTCGTGCCTTGAAACAGATGATGCATTGAATTAAAACTCGTACGTGTTCGTGGTCTGAAACTAAATGCAACCAAATCATGGACCTGGCAGGTAACTAAATTTTATTTTAGAATTGATCAAACATAAACAGTATTTAATTAATGCACCTCATCCGTTCAAACCAATGTTACTTGCCTATATGATTAATAGATTTAATTTGTTTCAAGTTATCTTGTGCCAAGGTTGTGGAAACCATACGAAGTTTCCACCGAAACCTTACAACATGAAAAATCATATCAACTATTGCATTCAAATTTACAATGTTGGTACACGTTTACGTTGGATATCACTTTCTATGGAGGCAAAGTAAGTTTGAGATCTGTTTTGATATTGATCTTAGATAGAATAATTACAACTAGCTAATATGTTTCAATTGAACTAATTGTAAGACATGAAATCATCACTTAAGGACTTTGTAAGTAACATTAATTTCTCAAATGGGCTTATGGATCCATTGAGTCCTTTTGCGTAATATAATACCAACAATTATCATATATGAAGTACAATTAGATTGATATGTATTCGATCTTTGTTTGTCCAACTCATAATTTTTTTTGGTGGAATAAGCTAATATGGTGTATGAAGACATCTCAGATACATTAATGGCATTAAATACAGAACAAGGTGTGCTTTGTTTTAAAAATAAAAATTTTAGAATAAGAATTTATTCAATTTGGTCATTTATTTATTCTGTTTGTTCTGCTTTTTGTCCAAAAGGTCTGACTGTTTGGATTATGATGGCAAAAACCAAAAAACCCAAAATGGTTAAAGAATCAAAGAGAAAAGGAGATTGATATAATGGCTAGATAGATTCAAAAGAGCCACTACCTTAAGACAAATAACCTAATATGGTTTTGTTGGGCTTGTTATTAGTTTCTCATTTACTTTGTTTGTATATTTGTATTAGAAATAACTGTTAGCAAATGGTGGTTATGGTAGATATAGCTACTGATACAAGAAATTTAAAACTCTCCCTTAAAGTTGTATGAAGTATTATATTTTATATGGAAATATCTTTACAATCAATTA